CTCACAATGAAACTTTTCCTGCTTTCTTCTTCTTCATCTCTTTCATTGTGTCTGACATTCTTTCCCTTTACATTTCTATCTGCTCTATCTCCATCAAAGAATGTCAAGGATTGTCATCTGTTCTGTTCCCAGATTCATTCCCAGTACATATTTTGTGCTCAGTCAATATTAGTTGATTGATTAAATGAACCTCAATGAGCCACAGGACCACCAATTCTAGACAGAACTAGATCCCAATCATTTCCCTCATCCCAAGAGAGGATGAGATAAGAATGGGTTTCCTGGAAGAGGTAGCATTTATTTCTTACCGCCGGTTGACTTATCTTGGACACAGGGCAGATGTCAGCCTGAGCACAGAGTTCTTCAGTGGGTTGTGGTGTTTTTATCTTGAACAAAAGAGGCTTGGAGTGTGTGGGGATGAGAGCTGAGAAGTCCTACCTGTGACCACACCCATGCTCAGGACCATATAGTGCTCCAAGCTCATTATTACCATTTGGCCTCAGATGGAGTTTCTGTGAGGTTAAGTTTAGCACAGCATTAGACCAGGGACACCACCTACAGATGACACTCACATTCCAAAAGACGAGGTGATTTTAATTACACTAAAATAGAATGCCTTACCCTGTCTAAGATGACGTTTTTGTCTTTTCGGTTGAAATGTCAGAATTATACCATTTTAGGTGTCAAAAGAACAATATAAAATGAGAAAAAAGGCACCAAGGGTAAGAATTTTTTTTCTGACTTGTTAATACTGTATTCAGATACTTGAATTATTGTCAATTCAATTCTTGGTGATAATTAACAAAGTTCCAGAATGAAACAATTATAGGAGAACAAAAAGATAATTTGACTGATTTCTTTTCATTATGTAGCTCTGGCTAAATGGAAGAAATGCATTGATTTTCCTGAGCTTGAATGGGTCTGTATTTCATTATAAGTTCTGATTGACTCTTATAGGAGAGGTCCAGTCACCCAAAGGTCAAAAGCAACAAATTATCTCTGCATGTCCCAGTCCTGATGATTACTATTGGGTTTTATATTTTTTGTTTTTCATGCTCCTTTTCCTTACTAGAACCATCTAGCACTGGGGGCTTGTTCATTTCTGCCTAGACTGTAGCAATGGTCATGGAGAAATTGCCTCTGGAGTTAGATTGCCCTGGGTTCAAATCCAAGATCAACCACTTTTACCATCTGTATAAGTGTCCTCAGGCTGCCTTAACAAAGTACCACAAACTAGGTAGCTTAAGAGAATAGAAACATATTATCTCACAGTTCTAAAGGCTGGAAGTCCAAAACCAATGTGTCAGCAGGCCATATGCCCCTCTGACGCTCTGGGTAGAATTCCCCCTCTCCTCTTTTAGCTTCTGGTGGTGGCCTAAAATCCTTGGTGTTCTTGCCTTGCAGCTCATATCCAACCTCTGCCTCTGTCATCACATGTCATTTTCCTCTTCTTATAAGTACACTAGTAGCCCTGTGCACGAAATTTGTGCATGGGTGGGTGGTGGTAGTGGTGGTGGTGGTGTCCCTCAGCCCGGCCTGCACCCTCTCCAATCTGGGACCCCTCAGGGGATGTCCAACTGCCGGTTTAAGCCTGATCCCAGGCCGACTGGCAGTCGGACATCCATCTCACAATCCAGGAGAGCTGGCTCCTAACTGCTCACCTGCCTGCCTGCCTGATTGCCTCTAACCATTCTGCCTGCTGGCCTGATCGCCCCCAACTGCACCCCCTTCCAGTCTGATCACCCCTAACTGCCCCCCTGCCATCCTGATTGCCCCCAACTGCCCCCTCGCCAGCCTGCTCACCTTCAACTTCCCTCCCCCCCCCAGGGTTGTGCTCACCCCCAACTGCCCCCCCACTGGCCTGCTTGCCCCCAACTGCCCCACCTCTACCAGCCTGCTCACCCCCAACTGCCCCCCTCCCACCAGCCTGCTTGCCCACAACTGCCCCCCCTGCCAGCCTGCTCTCCCTAACTGCCCTGCCACCATGGCTTTGTCCGAAAGTATGTCCAGAAAGTCTCCCGGTCTAATTAGCTTATTACCCTTTTATTAGTATAGATAGTCATATTGGATAAGGGCCCACCCATTAATGACCTCATCTTACCTTGATTACATCTGCAAAAATCCAACTTCCAAATTGGGTCTTGGGGTGGTGGTGAGGGGGCGGGGGGAACAATTCAACCTATACCCATCTGTGTGAACTAGAGCAACTGACTTAATTTATGTGATCATCAGCTTTCTCACTATCAGATTATCATGCAGACCTCCTACAGTGATGAGGAGCATGTGGAGTAACATATGAAAAGCCCCTTGTACTCCTTCAGTGCTCAAGACATGTTACTTCTCATCTCTTAAATTCCCAGCTCAATTTCCTAGCATCATTTATGTGTACTTGCTTCATACAAAAACAATGGAACAGACATCATGGAAGGTACAAAGATGACCCCTGCTTTAGGGAAGCTCATACACATTGAAGACTGACAAGAATAGTCTAGTATTTGTGTCGTATCCCAAGAAATACACATACAGTAAGAAAGGGGAGAATTACTTGCTAAGTGGCTTGACAAGGGCCTCATAGCAAATTTGCTACATGTTTGGAACCTGAAGCTGTGTTTAGATTTCCCAACCCAGTTTCTTTCCTAGCCTAACACATTGTACAATTATATTGTTTGTCATCCCTGGACCAAACATTGTGAAATAAAATCCATGTTTGCTGAAGTCATGTACCAGCATCTTTTGGGGATGCCCATAACGTTTAGGCATCCATCCCACTGCTCTCTGCACACTTTACTTTCACGTCCCAACCCTCCACAAACACACACATACTCCATTAGACCCACTTGTTCTCTCTGTTCCACCCTTGAAATACATCTTTCTCTTCTGCAGCAATCATAATATGGCCAGTAAAAAATAGCTACCAACTTCAGTGCCTGCTGGGTAGGAAATCACATTCTTGCCTATTATTAAAAAAAAAAATCCACTGAATGCTTCTGTCATCCATAGATCATCTCAGTCCACTCAGTGTGATCAAAAGGATGAGCAGGATTTTTATATCCTTGCCTCTGGCACTACAATTGCATGTTCAGTCTCTGTTACTTGCTATTTTTACTCCTTTCTGTACCCCAAATTTGACACATGAGCAAAAATCTATACAGGAAAAGGAAGGGTATTGCTGATGTTGATGTATTTATTTTATCTGAGTCAAGATTAGGAAGACTATGACAATTCTCAACCCGGGACAAATAGTAGAGAGACAGTCACTGACTTCTGATGCTTTGACCTAAAATTGGTTGATTTTATGATGGAGCTACACATATACCCATTCCGTAGAAACCGAACTTCCGATGTTGAATTTTGATCTTTTCCCAGGCCATAGGTATGCCCTAGATTCTCTCCTGATGCTGGGACATGGCAGTGAGCCTCAGCTCCCAGTCAACCACATGATCGTGAGCACAAACCATCAACACTCTACAGTGTATTCATTGTGTGAGATGATTTTGCCCAACTGTAGGCTAATGTAAGCTTTCCGAGCACGTTTAAGGCAGGCTAGGCTAAGCTATGATGTTCCCTAGGTTACGTGTATTAAATGCATTTCAACTTCAGATATTTTTAATTTACAATCGGTTTATTGGAACATAACCTCATCATAAGTGGAGGAGCATCTGTCTGAGTGTTCAGTGACAATGCTCAGGATGTAAGAAAGGAAATAAACGTCTGCTACTGAAAAAGTCAAATAGGTATATTTTCTCAGTCTGCATTATAGGCCAGACCCCTAGTTACTGCAGCGCTGGCTCGCATGCTGGGACCTCATTTCTCTACAGCACTTGCAGAAATAAGGAGATGCGTGTAAATCCGCTGTGGCTGTCGGTGGGACATGGCCACTGCTCTCAGTGCTGACTGGGGGGAGGGGGATGTGTAGGCAATGTACTTCCCTCCTTAGTTGCCTTGAGGAAACAAAAAACACTCCTTTTAGAAGATGCCAAATTTGCTGCAGCAAAATGTAGATGAAATGCTAACATAGTCTACAGAAAATAAAAGTAGGTGATTTACCTTTTGGCATTGAGTTCCGTTAGCAGTCCCACATGAGAACCATACATACACAGTAGAAGTGGATGCACTTACACAGATCTTCCCTTGTTTCTTCTGTCCATCCTCCTCCTCCTCTTCCCCTTCCTCTTCTTTCTCCTCCTCTTCTTCCTTCTCCTCTCCCTCCTACTCTCCCCGCTCCTTTTCTTTCCTCCTTCTACTCTTGCTGGTCCTATTCCCTTTTCTTATTCTCTTCTTCCTTTTCCTTCCCCTCCCCTTCTTCCTCTTCCTCCTTCTAATGCAGCTTTACTCATATGTCGGGTCCCATACCATAAGTGCAAACAATTTTTATATTGATGATGTAATTTTGAAAGCAATATTTTTTAATACATCCATAGAAAACTATTATATTGGCAAGCATTTCAGCTAGGGAATGAAAGATAATAATTTAAAGAAACTTCCAGGACATAATACCATGTCCTACTGCAAGATTTCAAATACTCGATTATGTAATATGTGGGGAGAAAGCTGCTCTGCCTCAATAATTCCGGATGCTTTGATATTCCTTTATTATAGATTCTAATTATGTCAAGAGGCACTCTCAAATGGGCATAACATATGCTGTTGTTTCCTAAAAGCTCTATTTTTTAATATCATTCTAAATATTTAAGCAAAAACTAACAGATTAATTCTCTTTTGCTACATGGTTTGCATCACTCCATGATAGTGTTAAACATACATTAAAAGATTGAACAATATATTTGATTCATTTCAAACATCATTTTCCATGTGAAAGATGTGTTATTGCACCGTTGCCTGTTAAAGGCACAATGAATGGAGTATATGGGGACACGTGGAACGGGGGGGGGGGGAGGGATGGGGGCTAAGAAACAGTGTAACAAAGACAGTTCTGTTGCTTATAATCACTGGCTTGATGAATCCAGTCACCACTTTCATGTCCCTGCTGCTTTTCACAGGTATAAGCCCTTGGTGGAGACACTCCCCGGCGAGAAGAAGAAGCTGTCTGCTGAGGAGAAATGCCGGCTTGTTCTCCAGCAGTGTAAATTACAAGGCTGGCAGGTTAGTGACCTACGAGCTCCTAACATACCCGTTTAGGATTTTAAATAAGTGAGCTGAGTCATTGCGGGGAGCCACCGGAGTCTCTCTGGCAAAAACAAATTGCTTTGATGTGTTTGGCAAGGCGAGACACTGCGTGTATTCCCTGGAAACGCATCAGTCTTTCTGACTTCCTGGTTTCAGCAGCGTGCAGCACACACACGAGGGAAGCCACAGGCTCCCGTACGGGACTGACAAGACGTTCCTGTCGCCCCTCTCGGTGTGTCCACGTTGCCGATTTAAATGTTGTCAGGAAAGCTTTTTGAAACATCTAAAAGGTAGCAGAAGCCAGAGAAAGTGAACGGTGAGGACAGAGCCGTGATTTCGTTGGCTCCTGGCTGGTATCTCACAAGTGTTCTTCAGACCAGACTTCCCCAGCTCCAGTCTTGTTTAGGCTCCTTTGCTCTGTTTCTCTTTGCCCTGCTTCTCACCTACCACACACTGAAAATGCCACTGTCCTTTCAACCTCATTTAATGGCAAAATCTTCATAATTGGAAACATTTAATTACGTCCTGTGATCCTTTTGGTTGGCAGAGGCCAGGGGCCCACGGGAGGAATAGCTGGACTTGCAGGGGGAGGAATTCGTATGAAACAGAAAAACAAGAAATACTCCCAAGAAATAGTGAGGCACAGGGTGGTTTTTTTTTTTTTGAATATAAATGTACATTTATTTTTCCAAACATACAATATCACAATAATTAATAGTGATTTTGGAAATTGTTAATCTTGTATATCAAATATGGTTAAGAACTTTTAAATAGTTAAATAAATGGGGAACAGGGTGGGTTTTGTTTAATACCTTAAACAAGGCCAATATGCCACCTTACTAGGATAAGGAAGAGGTTGTTTGAAACTTAAGAGTCAAGACAAGAAGGTAATATTGGAGCAATAATGGGAAACAGAATCAAGGCCAAGGCACCAGGAATTATTGGGCATTTCTAGCTATAAAACAACTCTAAGTGCTTAGGCAGCAAAGGGCATGGGGGCTAATAGTTTTGGCAAAACATAACCATTAGTGGAAAGCAGATATAAATCTCATTTAGAAAATGATAGAGCTTTCATAAGTGAAAATATATGATAATCACTGAGGCCTCAAACAAGATCTTCACTTCAGAAATGACATGAACAGAAGGTTCAGAATTGCTGAGCATGTCTGCGAGTGGTTCAATCTAGGCCAACAGGTAGAGACTACTGGCTTGACATCAACCCACCCATTCTTCTATGATGAAGAACTAAGAACATGGAATTTTAGCACTGATGAGTAATGATTTGATTGTCTGTGCCACCCAATCTTTTTCTTTACCATCTTTTCCCTCTTTCTTTTTTTTCTAATAATGATGGAGTTGAACTTTAAATAACAGTCTGAAGGAGGAGGCTTACACAGTCTGTAGTAATCATGGATGCACATCGTGCCTAAAGATTGCATAAAAAAGGAAGGAGAAATTACTAACACAGAATGATGTGAGCTAGTCACAACAGAGTCATAAGATGTGGGGGCCACGGATAGAACTGCATATCAAGCTTGTAGGTTAACTTAAGTCTTTTCAGCTGAATCATTGCTGGAATGTTTAAGTAAGCTTTAAATAGTAGTGGTTCATGAATAAGTAACTCTAAGATATTCTTGTGTTTTTTCCCTTTAAATAATACTCATGGATAAGAATAATTAAAAAGAAATAATGTTGAGAAAGAAGGTTCCGTTGTAGGAAAAAGGTGAGGGAGTGTGGAATAATTCCTCCACTAAGAAAGTGACTGGCAGTGACCACAATACCTGACTAGCCATCAGTTCTCTGATACACCTGTGTAGTGTAGGAGGTCAAAGTGTGCAAGGGGACTGGGGGACAAGCTGGCAGCCATTTCTGCCTGTGCTAAGATACTTAAAATTGCTGCTGAGGGCAATAATAAATTGAAATACATACTTGGACTTAGAAAAAGTTCATCAAAACAAAAAATTGGAAAAAGCTCGCATTTCATTGCACTATTCCATTTCCCCTCACTCCTTACCTCCTCAAAGGAGCCTAAAAATACAGAAAAAACATAAAAGAGAAATGTATTTATTCATTGAGCAGGTTTGCTTCTGTGTTCCATAGTAAATAGTTGATGAGACTGCTTTCTTCAGCTTCTGCAAAATGTAACCTTCCGGGTGCTTTATCATAGAGGACAAATCATTGACTTCACAGAAATAAAGTTTATCATATGTCACTTTTCTGCTAGTCAGAGAGCAAAAGGATTTTTTTAAAAAAATCATTCATTTTTGACCTGGTAAGTCAGATTCCTCAGTTTGAAAACCAAAGCATTTGTTTGAAATGTGTTGATAGTTGCAGTTCTTACTATGACTCTCTTCTGAGTGGCTAATGGACAAGGATGAACAGGAGCAACAGCAAGATCCTAATGGATGGTTACTGTATCTGTAGCATGATTCCAAAACTGCTGAGAGTTACAGTGTGTGTTTCTGTGAAGCAGGCAGGGTTAATCCTTTGGCTCTGAATAGTTAGCATAAGTTAAATTATTCTTTTCTATAATTTTAAGAACAATGCCAGAAGATAGAGGAGATCAGAGTATTAGCTAGAAATTAAATTCTCTTTACTAAAGGTGTGATTCTTGTATTTTTGCTCTATTGGGTCTTGAAGATCTTACGAGATTTCTTCATTTCTCCTTGACATTAATCAGACCTTGTGCAGTAAAGGCTCTGAATCATCAAGATAGGATTTTAAGTCCATAGTTCTCACACTTTCGTACATGGTAGCAAATGCACAAGTGCTGGTGAACACCAGCATTTCCTTGCTTCAGATGAGGACATCTCTCTGTCCTTCCCTTCAGTGCTGTTGGGTTTGTTTACATATCCACGTGCTATTTATTCTTTACATAGTTGTGGCTTGGGAGTCAATATGAGAGGGAGGTAGTGGGACTTTTTAATATTTTGTAAAAAATGATTTCTCTCTTCTACAGTATGTGTGTGTGTGTTTTCTCCAAAAACCAACTATTCAGGGTTTTTTTTTGCTTTATTTGACTTAAGCAGAATAGCATCTCTATGTAGAAAAAGGAACGTAGGTAGGGTGAACAGTAATGACCTCATTTTAAATGTGAGGAAATGGAGTCTTGGAAATCAGCGTACTGATCAAAATATTAGGTGCAGTTAATATTTAGTTTCAGCGGAAAGGCCCCTTTGCTGACACCGGCATCCAGGTCTTGCCATGCTCTGTTCTTTCCACTGCATTTAACTCGATCTATATCTTTTAATGTAGCCGTCCAACGTCCTTTTATTCAGGTTACAGAACTTGAAAGACATAGCCCAGGCATCCCCGTTGGAGCTTTGATCAAAGGCACTTACATATTCCTTTATCAGCTGGAGCAGATTGCTTCTTGTAGTGAGTGTGTGTGTGTGTGTGTGTGTGTGTGTGTGTTTAATGTTCATAATTTATCCAGTAGATGAAGGAAAAAAAGCTGGCTGCTTCCCGTTGCTGGCCAGTTCTGATCAGAATCTTTTTTACCCAAACTGTCAGCCAAATGACCCTTACATAGCACAGCGCTTTTGGACTTTAGTTCCTAACTGCATCTTGGAAAGAAAAGGAGAAAGGGGAAAGAAAGAAAAGGAAAAGACGATGGAGAAGAAGAACTGGAATTAAGGGAAGATGTGATTGACTTTATACAGTGTTTACTATCAAGTCTAGTCCTGAGAGCTGAGATCTAGATGCTACCCTGCCATCCCTAGGAAATTTTAGGGTTGAGAGAGGATTCATGGGTGGTGCTGGTTGACAGGCGAGTCAGGGTAATTTTGGTTCTAAATCACTACTTGAGCACAGATAGTTTAAGAACGGTCTTATTAAACCATTTTGGTAAATCCACCCATTTTGCAATATGCCAGGCTTTGCTCACTACCACCTTTTTTAAAATACATATTTATTGATTTCAGAGAGGAAGGGAGAAGGAGAGAGAGAAAGAGAGAGAGAGAGAGAGAGAGAGAGAGAGAGAGAAAGGAGGAAGGAAGGAAGGAAGGAAGGAAGGAAGGAAGGAAGGAAGGAAGGAAGGAAGGGACGTCAATAATGAGAGAGAATCATTGATCGGCTGTCTCCTGCATGCCCCCTACTGGGGATTGAGCCTGAAACCTGGGCATGTGCTCTTGATTGGAATCGAACCTGGGACCCTTCAGTCTGCAGGACCGTGCTCTATCCACTGAGCCATCTTTTACTACTATCTTTTAAATCATCACGTCCTCCCACCTCCTTTTAGCTCCTTCTCTGCTTAATTCTTATTCCTTAGATGCACGTGTTTTACAAAATTGTTGATTGTCTCTCTCTCTATTTATTTTCTTTATTGATTAAGGTATTACATATGTGTCCTTATCCCCCCATTACCCCCATAACCCCCCCACTCATGCCTTCACCCCCTGTTGTCTGTGTCCATTGGTTGGGCTTATATGCATGCATACCAGTCCTTTGGTTGATCTCTCCCCCTTACCCCCACCCTCCCCTACCTTCCCTCTGAGGTTTGAGCATCTGATCTATGCTTCTCTTTCTCTGGATCTGTTTTTGTTCATCAGTTTATGTTGTTCATTATATTCCATAAGTGAGTGAGATCATGTAATTAGCTCTCTTGCACTAGTATGTAAGCTCCACCAGAAAGGATTTTTATGTCGATTTACTGCTGTATCTCCAGCATAGGGCACAGAGAAAGGTGCACAGTAGACATGTGTGCATGTATTCTGGGCCAGTAAATGAGTCTGGCAACAAAACCCTACTAAATCATATAATAGGTTTTATATGGATACATAGACATATAGGAATTTTTAAAACCCAGAATAATTCATAACAAAAACCTAACAGTGGCAGTATGTAAGGAATCATGTTGAGATGATAGTTAAATGGAAGTTGGGCTCACATTCGTATTTAGTAAATACATGTATTCATGTATTACTTCTGCAATTAAAATGGATTTTAAAAATTTGTAACTGCTACATAAATACAAT